ATATATATTATTTTGATTAAATTATATTTTTGCTTTTATTTTTTTAAAAATAATTTGATTTTTTATCTTTTAATTTAGATTAATTTGATCTTTTAAGAAAAATGATATTTTTTAATTTTGTATCATAATCTTGAATTATTTTGTTTGATTTAATACGTGTCTCATTAAATTTAACTACATAAAAACTATTGGATCTAATTAATTTCCAAAAAAAAAAAAAAGAGTCATAAATATAATTAAATTTTCATTAAAATTGTCTACCAAGTAACTATAAAATAAAAAAAAATCTATTAATACATTTCTTTTATGATTGTCTGAGATTTATTTTTTATACAAGTTTTATTATATTTATATTCTTTTCAAAAAATTAATCATATTTAATAATTTCATATAATTGAATTTAATAAAATAAGTTTTCCATCTTGAATTAGTAAAAAAATATTTAAAATTTTGTCAAAAAGATGGTCACTATATTCAGATGAAATAAATGACTAAATTTTAAAGATAGATAACTAAAATAATTTTTTAATATATAAAAATCAAAATAAAAATTAAAATTAAATAATAAAATATAATTTAATCATATTATTTTCCTTAAAAATGAATGTCGAACTAGTGTTTATTCACTGGCTTGCATAGGGGTATGTTTTAGGTCCCATCACCAAATATAATTAATCCTTATTTGATAAAAGTTGTGTACTTTCTCTTCAACCCTATTAATTAATAGGAGAGAATTCAAATACGAGTCTAAACTTATGCAAGTATCATTTAATCAATTGCAAAAGAAAGCCTTAAAAATAAGATAATGGTAAGGATATCTTTGACCTAAAATTCAAGTAAATCAATACTAAATTTGATCCTTAAATTTAAACATCGTTATCATATTAATTGTTTAAACTAAAAAATTATAAAATAAATCACTAAAATATTAAATTTAATTATTTATTATCATTTTAGTTCTTAAATATGTAGTAATATTATCACTTTAATCATAAATTTTTTAATTTTGGATTAATGTAATTATCAATATATACTTTTAGGGATTTATTTTGACAATTTTTTAGTTTTAAAAATTAATTTGGTTCTATCTTCTAAATTCAGTGACCAAAGTGAATATTTACACCCGAAATTCATATCACTAAATACAGTAGAATCTCTTTAAATTAATAATGTCAGGACCGGAGAAATTTATTAATTTAGAAAGTTATTAATTTATTGATAAATTAATAATTATTAATTTAAAGAGTTTTTAAGTAATTATACTGTACATACCAAATAAAAAGGTAAATTAGTCTATGCCTCTTAAAAAAATACAAAAATACAACACCTGAGCTATTGGATACAATAAGAAAAGTTAGAAATGAGCTCCAAATAAACTTGAACTTTAAAGGAAAACAGACAACTATTGAATCATATTTCAATAGAGTGTAATATTTTTTTTTCAGTTTCTATGAATTATTAATTTATGATTTTCTTGAGACCGAAAATTATAAAAGGATCTCCCGAAAAATTATTATCTTATTATTTTACCGAGTTTTTTAATTTTTTATATTAGCCCAAGTCAAGACCGGACAAATTTATTATTTTAAAAAGTTTATTAATTTACCGAGTATTAATTTAAAGAGTTTCTACTGTATGTATTTTTGCTTTTGCATTTCTTAGCCTTTGCACATTAGATTTTGCATGTGGAGGTAGCCACCACTGGCATGTGAGGATTGTTATAAAAGAATTCTAGCAGATTTTATGAAACAACCAAAATTGCTAGTGTTATACTTAATTTATGTTTTATGTTTATATAAGGTTAGATTGCTCTTAAAGTATTTCAAAAAGTAGAACATACAAAAGAGAAAATAAAATAAGTTTTAAAAAAATTATAATTAACCTGTGTATAAATCAATTTTTAAAAACTCTTTCATATTAACTTTTCCAAAATATACTTTAAAATCAGGTATAAACTAATTATAACTTATGAAAATTATTTTTTCTTATTTTCTTCTCTTAAAAATGTTGTTGGAGAAACCTATCCAAATAGTCTCAAAATTATAAAATACATTGTTTGGTTAAATAAACTTCTTTATAATATATAAACACTTATAAGAAAAGAAAATAAAAAAGAAAAATAAAATAAAATAATTCTTTTTTATAAGATAAGATAAACTTGTGAATAAATTATTTATGTGAAAACTATCTCATAACTTACTCAAGTTAATTATAGCTTAAAATTTATCCAAACATGCGGATGACGTCTTTCACATATTCTGGCTCAGCGAAACAAGTTTATGAAATAATTTCGTTCATATTACGCTTCCCTCTCTTTGACCCTTTGGTACCAATAATTTTTTAAAATGCAATGTCTACAGCAAGAAAACGTTGGTGTGTGCAAAAGTTTTTCATAAAAAGGTCGGTGCAGCTTGTCATATTCAGATGAAAGAAGTTGATATATCTCAATTCATGTTTGAAGAACAAAGTAGTAAGCCTTATGGGGGCGAATCTATTAGAAAAACATGTATTGATTGCAAGATGCATCATTTTCAGGCCAATCAAACAACCCAGATTGAATTTTTTCTGCATTTAATCATGATTGAATAATAATAAATAAATAACTCGCAGGCCAAACTAAAACTAAAAGAGCAGCAGCTGGCATCTCTATCAAGTTCAAAGACTGTAAATGAATATTTTGAGCATCAAAAGGAAAATATAATAAATTTGATATAACAGAATCTGGCTGTTGCGATAAATAGATAAGATTCCCAAAGTAACAGGCAATCTACATAATTAGAGCGCAAAAAGGCTCCCTTCATTGGCTATTTACAACAACAGCGTCTAATATCACAAAATAACTGATCACCATTAGTGGCAAATATGACACAGACTAAGAAATACAAGGCAACCCCTCTTTGCTGCATACTTAGCAAATTATCAGCAAGACCACTGTTCCTCTGAAAAGAAAAAAAGAAAAAAAAAAACTCGAGTTCTTCATTGTTAAGACCAAGAAAAACAACTTTTATTCTCCAAAAGATAAAACCGTCCAACTTGGCAAGTAACCATCTTCAATCAGATTGTTTTGCACCTGTAAAAGAAAGCATAGGATTTGTAATTGATTTCAATGTGGAATTAAAACATCACAACCTTTATCTGCAGGCCTTTTGAAGATTGATATTCTGCCATATGATCCATACTTGCCCGTCACAAGGGCCAAAACCAAGACCACACAAGTGTTAAATATTGCATTTGGATTTTATACAACAGTGAACTTCCAGGCTCAAAAATAGTGATTGCGTTACAGTTTCATTAATAAAAGAGGTTTTATATACCTTTTTCATACCTTCTCATCAATTGAAACGAAATCCAGGAGATCCAGCAAATAAGTAGGCCATGACATTAGGAGGTACAGAAGGTGTATCCCTGTTTAACTCAAAATTCTGCATTCTAGTGAAGGGGGAAGACCGACCATCAAGTATATCAGGAAACATAGACATAACCTAGGAAATATCAAATTAAGACAAACAAGAATTTAGTTCAAACTTCACACTTCTAACTATAGTAAGGTAACAACTAGTAATCAAAATAGTTACCATATTTGACAAATATTTATACTTACATCAATCATATCGGGTGATAAAGTTACAAACTCGGCACTCTCCATCATTTCAAACAATTCAATCATCCGAAGGAGCAAGTCAGTGTCCTTGTTCAAACACCACACATCAATATCCACTTCCTCCACGCAGGGAAGGTCGACCTCAGCGGAAAAATCATACAGATCAGTGTCACAGTATGTAAAATATTGAAGCTTTGGTGTGGAAAGCTCAATGACACAATCAGAATCAAACACTTCATCGATTCTCATCCACGAGATGCTCAAGTTGGTGAGCTGAGGGGCGAAGATTCTAAAGGTTTCAAATCCGCCATAATAGTTACACCGATGAAGAGACAAGCATGTCAAATTAACACAACCCTCGAAAGGATCGAGAAGCTCTTCCACCCCACACTCGAATCGACAGTCAAAAAGGTAGAGCTGTTTGAGAGAAACGACATCAAAGGATGTCGTTTCAGTGGATATGTGAGAGAGCTTGAGAGTGGTGAGGGATTGACAGAGAGAGAGCTGAGGGAGCTTCCCCAGGACGCATTCAGCGAGGATGGAGAGAAAGTGAATAGTGGCGGAAATGGGTGGTGTGAGAGTAACGTAGTCAATGATGGAATCTACAACATGCTCATCTTGGAGTTCCTCTTGGGACGCAAAGTTGAGGACTTGGAGGTTGGTGGAAGCGTCTCTGTGAGACAAGACATGATCCACGAAGTACTGGAAAAGGACAGGGTCGTCGAAGGAAGAGTCTTGGAAGTTTAGGACTGGAAGGGAAGTCCAAAGGTGCCTCCATCGCTTACTCAAAACACTCGTTTGAACAGCTAATTTTGCGTCCACAGTGGATAGTATGCGATGGATAAGTTCGTTTGGTAAGCTGCTCAGCCTGTCTTCCTTCGCTCTGCTGTTTCCCTTCGAACACTCGCCAACACCAATCGAACCCTTTTTCACTTCCCACATATAGATGGAGTTACTTTTTTTCTCCATCTTCTTCTTTATTTCTCTCCTCTCTATTTCTTTTTTTCTCTGAGTTACAATTTTTTAAGAACTCTATTTCATTTTCGTCTTACTGAGTCGTATCTTTTTATAGAAGATACTCGTGTGTCATATCTCGAGGATAATTTTAAACCGTTAGATATATTGTTTTAAATCGATAATCCATACATTTTTTTGGTGACAAATGTAAAGAAAGAAAATAAAGAAAAATCAAACTAAAAGAAACTTAAACAAAACAATCCAAACCCTACAAGCGGGGATAGAAAGTTCTTGATGCATCTGCAATTAATAATAATTGAATAACAGACTCTGTTTCTTCAATTATCACTAAAAAGTGTCTAACGTCGAACCCTTTTTTGCCAACTAATCTGTACAAGAATTTCTTTCTCGAAAATAAAGAAAGAAAATAAAAAAAAATCAAACTAAAAGAAACTTAAACAAAACAATCCAACCCTACGAGCGGGAATAGAGAGTTCTTGATGCATCCGCAATTAATAACAATTGAAGAGCAGACTCTGTTTCTTCAATTATCACTAAAAAGTGTCTAATGTCGAACCCTTCTTTGTCAACCAATCCGTACAGGAATTTCCTTCTCAAAAATAAATAAAAAATAAAGAAAAATCAAACTAAAAGAAACTTAAACAAAACAATCCAACCTTACAAGCAGGGACAAAGAGTTCTTGATGCATCTGCAATTAATAACAATTGAAGAGCAGACTCCGTTTCTTTAATTATTACTCCCTCCGTTTTTTTTTCATAGTCGTTTAAGGTTTTGCACGGGAATTAAGGAAATCATTGATATTTTAGTTTTCAAAAATATTTATTACTTACTTTCCTATTTTACCCTTTTGTTGCATTTTTTAGACTGTTGAACTACTTCATTAAATAGTTGTTCCTTTTTTTGTTTTTTTATAGTATTTTGTTGGGAACATATTGCTCTTATAAATGCGCATTAACTTTATATGAGTAGTTAGAGAAAAATTAGGTAGACATTAAAAATAAATACACACATTGTTCAGGAAACATGTATTAATTATCAAGGGTAAAAATGAAAGAAAAAAATTAATAACTCATTGATTTTAGTAATATGACAATGAAAAAAAAATAATAAACTCTGACAAAACGACTATGAAAAAAAAACGGAGGGAGTACTAAAAAAGTATCTGACGTCGAACTCTTCTTTACCAACTAATCCGTACAGAAATTTCTTTCTCGAAACACGTGAGTAAGGGAGCTATTCTATAATCTTCTCAATATCTCTGGGATGAATATAATCTCATTTACATATCGATATATTTTATTTTTATTTTTTAAAATCATGTTTTTCAATTAAAAATTGTATGTCATATCGTGAAGATATTTTTAAATTGTTAGATATATTAAATTTTAAATGGACAATCGATACATTACATTATTTATTTATTTTTTTCTTTCAATCATGTTTTTCAATTAAAAATTGCAGCACATTCCGAAAAAGTAAATCAAAATAATGTCTGAATTAAAAATATTCATATTTTTAATAAAATTATTATAAAACAAATATTTAATTTAATATTTTATAGTTTAATTTTTTTTAAAAGATTCAGAATGTGTTTCGGAGGATATTTTCGAAGGATCCAGAATTTTTCTTTCCAGTTTTACTCTTATTCTCTTTTTGACAGCATTGTGCAATAATATTCATACTATAAAGTCATTTTCCTTTAATCGTGTGTCGCATTCCTCCTCTTATTACAATAATAGATTCAAAGAAAATTATATTTATTAATGTTACTAAATCGTGCTTCGATACCTCCTCGCCAGTTGTAAAAATTAACTTCTAATGTTTCAACAACGAGCACATTCTTTATGTTCTTTAACTTGCAAGTGTCCTTAATGTTACGGTTTTTTAAACACATTTTTATATTTTTAATGATGTGACATAATGATTTTACAGTCGTTAGTATATATATATAATATTTGACATTTTTTTTCTTCAATTTTTTCTCTTATTTTCACGTGTCATGTCATTAACAAATCAACATATATGTAATAATTCGATAAATTATGACATTTATTATTAAAAAATTAATATTTAAGTGAAAGTTAAAGATACATAAAGTAAAATGAATGAAATATACATAACATATATAAATCTAATACTATATATTGGAGATTAACTAATATAAAATATCTTTTATATAGTCAATTGAGGACTCCAAAATATGACTCTATTGGAAAGTCATACAAAATCGTCACTACTGCCTAATCCTGCCCTACTCGTATACTAAATATAGTTATTGTAGTCTCAACCACAAGAAAAATAAAGGTAAGTTTACAAAAGAAACGACTTACAACAAAACAATAAAAACATAGATTAACAATAATACAACTCACAACTTATAGAATACTCAGCATTTATCAACTTTATCATAATCAACATTTCAATATACATAGATTAACAACTAATGTGTCGTTATACATGTCAACTAAGGAGATTTCATACAACATAGGTGAGCAGTTTAAATAGCTTGACCCTATCGAATCACAACATTAGACCTAACTTGGCGATCTCAAGTTTATGACAATGTTAGACCTCAAAGAGAGCTAGGTATAAGCAACTTAATTTGATTTCTTAAGTTTTGCCACTTAAATATGAAAATATGGTACTATGTCAAGATAGAACAATTTAGATATGGATCTACCATGACATTAGTTTGCATCACTAAGCCGCCTATGGGATTAGTCCATTGACTAACCTCCAAATACAACAACCTTCTAATACTAAGTTAGAGACCAAGTCTTTCACCCCATACTATACTCGATTAGTCATTCAACTAAGATATGATTTGACTACCTCTATGTTAAACCACATAGGCCCTAGACGGAATAACAAATTCAAAACAACATAGTTTACCTCTAGTATCTACATATATTAATTAAGACATATATCTCAATCACATGTCTACAACTTTTAAATTTTACAATTATATAACATACAACTTGCATCTTAACAACATCAACCCATCTATCAACTTACAACATAAGTATTTATCATTATATATCATCAACACATACAACATAGTTAACAATACTCATTAATAGATCATCGTAAAACATCAAGAATACAATAAGGATATCACGCTCAATGCTACTCAAATGGCACCCATACCATCGAGACAGGGAACTCCTTGTCTCGCCCACACCCTATGTCACACCACTTGTGCTTGGTGTAACACTCCGATTTTCATAAAATTATATTAATATTATGTTATATAATTATTCTAATATTTTAAATGTGTTTATTAAATAATTTTGGTATTATTTAATTATCTACATGAGCTCTATTTTATTATAAAGCTTAATTTATAATAATTATTTTAATTAGTGAAGTAGGAGTTATTTTATAAAGTGTATTTTATTATTATGTTCATGTTATTTTTTTTTTGTTTGTCCCTGGAGTATCCACCGCCGACAGCAGTGACTAATCTCCTCGCTACGTTGGAGGCACCTCAAAGGGTGGGATAGCTGGTCCCAAGATTTAACGCGGCTGCATACACAAGGCAGGATTCGAACCCCTGACTTTGCTTAAGCGTGGATCAACCCCTACCGCTGAACCACACGCTTGGGGTTTTATGTTCATGTTATTTGATTAAAGAAAGGAATATGTTTAATTCTATATATATATATATATTATATTAATTATTTTATGAGAAAGGGAAGGAAGGACATGTTGGTAAATGATTAATTATTATTATTTATTTTATTAATTGAGAAAAAAGGGTTAAGGAAGTTATCAGAGGTTACAAATCATTTCCACGTATTCACTTTTGACCCTCATTCTCTCTTACGCTTTTGAAGACCAAGGAGAGTCAGGATAAGGAGGTCAATCAGAGAGTGCACGTGCTTCATCTTTTACTCATTCAAGTAAGGGGGAGTGAGAAATCTCACTTGGGGGTGTGGAGATATATGTAAGGTAATCGGATTGGCCCACAATCTCTTGCCTGATGTATGCTTATAGGAATAGACACTTTATGAAAGTTTTATGTTTTGCTCTCTGACTGTTCTATTGCGCTTCTTGTGTGATTCTAAGTATGAATATGTGTTCAATTTCAATAATGGATATATTTGGTAGCGGGATTGACCTCAATCCCTTGCCTAATGCATGCTCTTAGAAATATGCACTTTTTGAATGTTTTATGTTTTCGTGTTTGAGTTTTTTATTGTGTTCATTGATGGTTGCTAAATGTAAATATGTGATTAATTCTGAAAATAAATAAGTTTTAATATGAATTAGAGTATTTTGTGGGTTCTTGTGGGAAATCCTATGAAGTGAAATTAGGGATATGATCTTTTGATAAATTTTGAGGCATTATATGTAAAATTGATGATGAATTAATGTTTTGGGTAATATTTGGAGTGTTTTGACTGATTGAAATATTATATTAACTGACTGGTTATAAAAAATGCGTGAAATCATGAAGTTGGGTCTATAACCTTTATGCTTCGTATGTTATGAATTGTAAATTGAATGTGTGTGATGTTAGGTAATTTTCTGGTATGGTTTATGTGTTATTTTGATGTATATGGTTATGATAAGTTCCTTGTATGAAACTATGTAAATATGATGTGAAAATGTGAAAAGTGAACATATGACCGGTTACATAATAGTATGAGATAATATGATACGAGATATGAGAATTTGTGATAAGTGAATGTGTGACATGCATCATGTACATATTTGACTCTAGGTGTGTCGCATGTTACTGTATTCAAGATTTAACAAACATGACACTTGGCCAATCATTTATAAAATTTCAGGTAGAAAAATAGTGATTGTGTTACATCTTTCATTTATAAAAGAGGTTTTATATACCCTTTTTCATATCTTCCGTCATGACAATAGGAAGTATAACAAAGAAGGAAGAAGGTGTATCCTTGTTTAACTCAAAATTCTGCAGTTGAGGACGGGAAGGGAAGTTCAAAGGTTTATCCTCGTTTGAACAGCTGATTTTGCGTCCACAGTGAAAAGTATGACGTGGATAAGATTTTTTTTTAGTCAAGTTACGCAGCCTGTCTTCCTTCACTCTCCTGTTTCCCTTCTCCATTACTGCTAACTTTGAAGACTCACCAACACTAATGGAACCTTTCCTCATTTTCCAAAGATAGATGGAACTACTTTTTTCTTGATGTTTTATCTTTATTTCTTTCTTCTCTATTTCTTTTTCATTTTTGGTTAGATTTTTTTAAGAATTTATTTTATTTTTTCTCTCTATTTTATTCTCTTCTTATTTTATTTTATCTTATTAAAGATGTTAGTCATGTCTCATATTGTGAGAACATTTTAAACATATAGATATATTAAATTTTGAATTAATGATATAGATATTTTTAGTTTTTTTTTTAATTTTCCTAATTTTACTCTAATTCCTTTCCCCTCACAATATTGTGCAATGACATTCCTTTAGCCTATGTCACAATCCTCCTTCTATAGCAATAATGGACTTAGAGAAAATCACCTTCATTATTGTCACTATATCATGCTTCAGCACTTCTTCAACAATAAAAATTACATGAACAACAAGTACTTTTTTTTATGTTCTTTAACTTATCAAGATTCTTGGTGATGTCAATTTTTATTTTTTATTTTTTAACAATTTCAGGGTTTTGTATACATATATAATGTTTGACAATCTGACCAATTTTTTTTTAAATGTTTTCACATGTCATATCATGTCGTTGCTATGCATCATCTTTTATATTAACACCATATTATTTGTCATTTCATCCATTAATTAAAATAGGTATATTTTTAATGGAATAACTACAATCAAATTCTTGATGGAATTAAATTTCTCTTGCAACTTGTGACACAATATAATTTTTCATGTTTCGATTCATATAATTTTTTAATAAAAAATATGGACAATTAAAATAAATAAAATGTTCACCAAAGATTTTCATCTTGAAGTTGCTTAACTTCATTATAAATATCTAATAAATTGTAATCTTATGGTGTGTTTGGATAAGAAATTTTACAAATTCAAGGAATTTTATAAATTCAAGGAATTTTATAAATTCAAGGAATTTTATAAATTCAAGGAATTTTATAAATTCAAGGAATTTTAAATTCTTGGTACTTGAATTACTTTGATTTCAATTTCTATCATTCTTAAAATATTTTGTTTGGATGAGTCAATTCAAATTTTTTAAATTTTAAATTATTAAGTTGAATATGATAATTTGATTCCACCATCGTAAAATTGATTTTAAAAATATATTTATATGTTGAGAATTTTTAAATTAAATTTTATAAAAATAAATATTAACTAATTTTTAAATATTTAATAATTTTAAAAATTAATATTAGATAATATTTAATAATTTTAAAAATATTTTTAAATATTCAATAATAAAAACATGAAGAGATAAGAAATAAGATAAAATATATAAGTGAAATAAGAAGAAGAAAAATACGAGGAATTTCAAATTCTTACTTTTTTGGGAGAATTTGAAATTCTACTATTTCAAAGAATTTCATAAATGCTTGAATTTCAAATTCTTTATAAATTCTCCATCCAAACAAGGTATTTCACTCCAAAAAATTTAAAATTCTTCAAATAAATGAATTACTTTATTTAAATTCCCCATCCAAATATATTAGAGAATTTTTTTTATTCTCTTTAGTGAATGAGCTCGTCATGACTTTTTCCTTCAAACATGAAAAAACTTTTTTTTTGTTTTCAAACCATTAAAGACATTATTGTTTAAAAATAAAATAAAAAATTAACATAAAAGGAATAATATAACAAAATAACTTTTCACTTTTATTTAATACAAATATATAAGATTGTTCATATGAAAAATTACTACATTTTAGTTGAGCTTACAAAGATCGATAAATTGAGATCATCCAACTAAACTTGTCCATACAAAAAATCTCAACTTAAGCTAGGAAAAATAAATTACTGGGAGATAGTTGGTAAATTATCAAGCCAACTATCTTTATTGATAAAAGATGCTAAAGAAAATTCTTTCATCTGTGAAGAACTCAATTTTTTCGTCCATGGAACACGCTTTGAAGTATCAGCCCCAGGTCCTTTACAATCAACTTCGGCATAAGTAAACTTATTCCTACAAATATTTATTAATAAATTAAGAGAAAATGAAGAAAAAAGAAAACTTTTTACAATATAAAATATTAATACAAACCAATAAAATACATATTTTCTAAATTAAAACATAAAATAATAAGTTTATTCATAATATATAGTCATAAAGTATAATGATCATTTCTTTATTTAAACTTACTCTTGGCCACCATAACTTGCCGCATTCCATCCTTGAGGGGTTACTATCGAAGAAAAGTTTGTATTATGAAATATAACTCTAGAGTAAGCACGCCATGCCCTTCCTAAATTTACTTCACCATTTCCTATAACAGAACCCCCTTCAAATACAAAACCACCTGGATCATTTGATGAGTCTCTGCTTTGAGCCGTGACAAAACCTGGTAATTTTCTATTTCTTCCAATAGCATTAATCAAACAATTCTACAACTTACAAAATAAAAGCATGTTAAAATGAATGTTTCATCATTTCATTTTCAAAAATAGAATTAAAAAATATATATCAATGTAATTACCTCATAATAAGATTGTCCATTACCAAAAATAAAATCAACTTCGCCTTGAATGTAAGAATCTTTAAAATAATGGCGTCCACCCACATCAAATAAAGTATCTTGATAGCCTACAAAACTACACCTAAAGAAGAAAGATTTGTCTCCATATATTGTTGCCGCCACTGCTGGTAATATTTGATTGCTTCCCTTATCGTCTATATTATATGAGTTCTACAATTATGTAACAATACATTAAAAATAAATAATATATTAGAGAGTTATCCAAATGTATGGTTGTTTTATCAATTGATTTTGTGTTTACCTTGAAAGTAATGTCACTTGCAATCACATTGGATGACGAGGAAATGAATGTACCACTTTGACTTGTTCCTTGTTTGAATGAGGAGTGATCTGAGAAACTTATGATTGTAGTTTGACTGCCTTCTCCTTCTAAAATGATGCACGGCTTTTCTAGAGGAATATGAACTTTTTCTCTACATAATTATAATATAAAAATAACTATATACATGTTTATGAAAGGGTACGTAAATTTTGAAAAAAGTTTTAAATTCAGGAGTGAGAAAATTACATGAAAAGTGCTGTTTTAAAAAACAAAAGGTAATGCCAACATCAACCAAAAAAAAATGTCAAACATGTTACAAGATAAACAAATTGGGCTATCAATATTAAATGCACACTATCAAAATGGTAATGAATATTTTTGGTGGAAACAGATTTTTTTTTGTTGTGATTATGTACGAAGTATCTTTAATTGGGATATTGTAGTGAGTTTGAACATTACTCTTTAAAAATATCATGTGTTGTAAACGTTAAAAATAACGGAAAAAAAATTCCCTAAAGTTATTTTTATTATTAATAATAAAATAATTAATACATAAAAATTATTAATTATTTTTGAAAAAGATAATATATATATATATATATATATATATATATATATATATATATTTGCTAGAATCAACGGAGAATATAAAATCTTGAGTAAAATCACTGTTTTAGATTTTTCTATGCATTTTATTGTAGAATAAGTCTAACGTTTTTTTGGCTGAATAAATGGTAAGTCTCACCGAAGAGTAAAGACAATAAAAATGATTTGAAAAATAACAAAAAAATTAGCAAGGCGGGAATAATTAATTTGTTAATTGTAGATTGATTTTTGGGATTTGTGAAAATAATTTAATTTTAAAAATATGCAAGTGTTATCTTATTTTAATTTCACGATGATGTATACATTTTGTTTAATATTCAATGAATTAATAATTTATGTGTAGTTATAAGAATGTTGCTTTGAAACATGGTATTCTTTATATTTTTTTTAAACAAAAAATCTTGTTTGTTAATAAAAAATAAAAATAAAAACTGGATAGAAAAATAAATTTTTTTTTACACGATGTTATAAATTATACATATTTAACTTACATATATAAGCCAGCTTTTATGTGAATCTTGACCCATTGATCATTGTTACTCTTTATAGAATCAATGGCAACTTGAATTGTTCTAAACGTCACTTTGTCAGATCGACCAACAGTAATGATATATGAAACATTCTTCCCACCGCAATCTACAGCGACACCAAAACAAAAGAAATAGCTAATAAATAAGATTAAAATGAAAGCTATTGATCTAGGAGACAATTCCATAACAGAGGATATGTGTTGAGTGAGTTTTAGGAGCATAAACATCCGTTTTAAATATTAAAAAAAAGAATATCTTTTTTTATATTTGAGGGGAAAAAGTTATTTCTACTTTTGTAAATTCAAGAAAAGAAACAAAAAAAAAAACTAATACATTAACTATATATTGAAAAATATTAAATTTTTTAAGTTATTTTTATGAATAATTAATAACTTTTTCTAGTTATTTTATGTCATTTAAAAAATTTCTTCAATAATCAAATAAAAATAAAATCTAAAATGGTTATTATTAATCTTAAGTTTTCACAATAATCAATCCATATATGAAACATTCTTCCCACCACAATGTGCAGCTATAACAAGACAAAAGAAATAACTAACAAATAAGTTTAAAATGAAAGTCATTGGCCGAGGAAACAATTTCATAATAAATGATGTGTTAAGTGAGTTTTAGGAGCATGAACATCCATTTTAAGTATTAAAAAATTAATATCTTTTTATATTTGAGGAGAAAAAGTTATATAAAAGAAACAAAAAAAAAAAAAAAATCTGACACATTAACTATATGTTTAAAATTATTAAATCTTGTAAGTTATTTTTATGCACAATTAATAACTTTTTCTAGATTACTTCAATAATCATATAAGAATAAAATTTAAAATGGTTATCATTATCAATCTTTAAGCTTTTGCAATAATTAATATATAATTAATGTGAATGTTTTTCTTAAGGAAAAATATTTTTAGAGATTTTTTTTGACAAGAAAATTTTTAAGGATTCTTTTAAATTTTTTATCTAATTAAATTTCTATTTATCGTGATTATTTATGAATTATCACTCATAATTTTAAAAATAAATTATCGATAAATAAAAACAATTTTTTTGTACTATAATATAAATTTTTATTACAAATTTAAAATATAATTTATACATCTAAAAATATCTGTTTATTTAAATTGTAAAAATAATTTATATATATTAAAATATAGTATTTATTTTTATATATATTTTAATTATATATAATAAATATTTAAGTTGTACATTGTACAAAATAAAGTACTAGTTAAATAGGAAGAAGATTCAAAATGATTATCATGATTAACATTAAGTAACCAAACGAAATGACTTTCTTAATAAATATGGTATTATTTTTATAGAACCGAATAATAGAAGAGTTTAGTTTTGATACTTTGTATAAAATTTATATTTAGTTAGTTAATCAAAATTTATATTAGAAATAATTTTAAAATAATCATCATAAATTTAAATAAATCATCATATAATATATATAATAATTTTTATTTATTAATAATGTTAACATTTTTACATTGTCAATGCATATACTATTTACTTGCTATAAAAACTTAAAATTATGTAAATTTATATAAGGATTAAAATTTAAGGTGAGTTCCTCCAAAACAAAAGACATACAAACACCGTGCAGGAAAATAGAATATAAATATAAAATAAACATAAATATATAATAACATAAATGAATTTTAATTAATCATATTAAAATATTTTGAGTCAAGGTGATAAAAAATTATAAAAAAGTAAATAAATTATTTAAATAACTTATTTCGATAAATATACTTCATTTGAGTATTTGACTTAATTTAAAAAAAACATAATCACCTATTATTTCTATTTTTGAAATATTTTAAAAAATAAATATTTATCAAAATAGTTTTTTATATAAAAAAATATGCATTAAAAATTAAATATTTACTAGATTTGATAATATTAACATCCAAAAATATCTTTTTGGTACTACGTTCAAAAAAGTGCATGAGATTTTTTATATATAGAAGTTGAATCGGGTTTTCTTCTTATCGGGAAGAAAATATGAGAAGTACATTATTTTCATTTTCATATATCAATTTATATGGCATGTTTTTTTTAATTATTTTGATTGAAATAAATATTTACAATTTTTTTTAAAATAAAAGTATTGAGAAAAACTATAATTTAATAAAGGCTTATAATAACTTAAATGAATGACTTATAATTATATGATTGTCAATATTTGAGAATGAGTTAATGATTTAATTGATGAAAAATTTTAGTCGGTATCAACAACTTGATGTGAGAACTCACAACTAAATATTGATTGTAACTAAACTATCTCAATAAAATTTAAATGAAAAACAATCAATCAAAAAGCACTAATAGTTTTATACTCTAAAAATAATCTTCTTCCTTTAATCAAGTCACGATTTGAAACACAACAAAATATGATTCTCTCCAAAATCATACAGAACAGTTGCATTGAATTAAAAGGTAAAATAATAAAACAAAATAAAGTAAAATGCAGAGAGCTTAGGGCACCAAATTTAAAGGGGACATTAGAGGTTGATAAGGAAGAGTAGTGCACCAATATAGAAAATTAGTAGAAGAATAGGTGCAATGGAGGTGACAGTGTCATAATGAGATCAACTTTGAGCCTTATTTTTGTTGATTGTGTTCACCTTGATGGACTAAGTAGTGGTTTAAGAAACTTATGATTATAGTTTGACTGCCCCCACCGTTTAAAATGATGTTTTTCTTTTCTAAAGGAATATGAACTTTTTTATCTACATAACAACAATTTAGAAATAATTATTATAACGACCTAAGATGTCAATACATTTACTACTAAAAATTGACACTAAAATAAAAGTTAGAACATTTATAAAATAAAATATATGAAATATACACGACATATATAAATTTAGTATATAAATTATATATTTCAAAGTTTAAATTATTACAAAAAATCCTTTAGATGACCGATCGAAGATTCTAAAAAATGATTAGTCAAAACTCTAAACACCAAAAGAGTCGTATAATGTTTGTTTTCACATGTCATATCACGTCGTTAACATATCCGTCTATGCATCATCTTTCACATCAACATCATATGGTTTATTATGTAATCTACTAATATCCCACAATTAAAATAGATTTATTATTAATGGAATAAATTATAATTGTACATAACTAAAGTTCTTGATGGGCTCAAATTTTCCTTACAACTTATTAGTTAGGACACAATATAATGTTTGGATTAATATAATTTTTCAATAAAAAAAAATATTTAAACACAATTTAAGTAAATAGAATGTTTTCCAAAGAATATAAAGTTATTCTCTTTAGTGAATAACGTTTATCATGATTTTTTCTTCAAATATTAAAGAAATGTTTTTCAAACCCTTAAAGTCATTATTGTTATTTAAAAGAAAAACAACATAATAAGAGTAAAAAAAAAAAAAAAACATAACAATCACTTTTATTTATTAAAAACATAAAAGATTGTTCATATGGAAGGCCACTACATTTTAGTTAAGTGTATAAAGATTGATAAATTGAGATCATCGAACTAAACTTATCCATACAAAAAATCTTAACTTAAGTTGGGAAAAATAAATTACTAGGAGATAGATGGTAAATTGTCGAGCCAACCATCCTTATTAATAAAAGATGCTAAAGAAAATTCTTTCAACTGTGCAGAATTCAACTTTGTCGTCCATGGAACACGCTTTGAAGTATTAGCCCCTGGTCCTTTGCAATCAACTTCAGCATAAGTAAATTTATTCCTACAATTATTAGTAAACAAATTAAGAAAAATTTTCTTATAATATAAAATATCAATACAAACCAATAAAAAAAAATCTAAATAAAAACATAAAATCATAAATGTATTCTTAATTATCAAGTCATAAAATATAATGATGTTTTCTTTATTTAAAACTTACTCTTGGCCTACATGACCGAAATTATCCCATCCTTGAGGAGTTACCACCGAAGAAAAGTTTGTATTATGAAATATAACTCTAGAATAAGCACGCCATGCTCTTCCTAAATTTACTTTACCATTTCCTATAATAGAACCCCCTTCAAATACAAAACCACCTGGATCATTTGGTGAATCTCTACTTTGAGCTGTGACAAAACCCGCTAAATTGTTATTCCTTCCTATAGCATTGATCAAACAATTCTACAAGAGAGAAAAAAAAACACGTTAAAATGAACGTTTCATCGTTTCATTTTCAAGATAACATTAAAAAAGAGAGTATATAATTACCTCATAATAAGATTGTCCATTACCAAAAATAAAATCAACTTCCCCTTGAATGTAAGAATCTTTAAAATAATGACGTCCACTCACATCAAATAAAGTATCTTGATAGCCTACAAAACTACACCTAAAGAAGAAAGATTTGTCTCCGTATATTGTTGCTGCCACTGCTGGTACTATTTGATTGTTTCCGTTATTGCCCACATTATATGAGTTCTACAATTTCGTAACAATACATTAAAAATAAATTATATTAGAGAGTTATTAAATATATGATTGTTTTATCAATTGATTTTGTGTTTACCTTGAATGTAATGTCACTTGCAATGATATTGGGTGGTGAAGAAATGAATGTTCCACTTCCACTTGTTCCTTGTTGATTGGATTGGTGGTCTGAAAAATTTATGATTGTTTTTTGACTACCCTCTCCTTCTAAAATGATACATGGCTTTTCTAAGGGAATATGAACTTTTTCTCTACATAATTATAATGTATAAATAATTATATACATATTAAAAAATGCTTCAAATTAAAGAGAGTGAAAAACATGAAAAGTGTTTTTTTTTTCTTATCAAAAGTAACTCCAACATCAACCTCAAGAATTTATTGTTTTTGAAGTTGAATATATATTATTTGTTAGAAACACAATGTCAAACATGTTACATGATAAAAATAAAAATAAAAAGTGTTGTCACTGCTTAATGGGCGCACTATAAAATTGACAATGAAGACTTTTGGTGGAAACAGATTTTTTTAATAATGTAAGAATTAACTTTAATTTGGATTATAGTGAGTTTGAGTATTCATCTTTTAAAAATATCATGCGTTGTAAATATAAGAAATAGCGAAAAAATATTTCCCTAAAGCTACTTTTATTATTAATACTTAAAAATCATTAATTGCTTTCAAAAATGATATAAAAAAAATTAAAAAAAAAGTCAAATATCTCATGCACATTGTGAAAACATAGAATAAGCGGAA